ACTCATTATTATATTTCACAGCTTGACTAATATCTTCATTGAGTGATTGATAATCAAATATAGACAACAATAGTTTCTTCACATTATTTCATAATCTCCAATAAAATTGTCTTATTAATGCAACTTCTTTTTAATTTATAATACATACTATTTGTTAAAAATCCAATTGATGAGCCAATGCAAAACATAATCTTTGTCAAAGGCTTTATATCTTAGTTGTTGTAAAATAAATATTGTCACATTCACCAAATTATTCTTCAAATATTACCAAAATATCTCAAAGTTATGCAATATAAAAGACTTTTTTTAATTAATAGAGAAAATTAAGATAAAGTTTAATTTGAGAATATAATTTCAATCATATTAACATAAGATACTTCAATAGAATATTACTAAAGATGGAGAAAAATAATAAATTGTAATTGATTGATAAAGCCGCAAAATTTTGAACAAGTTCAATTAAATATTTTTGAGAGGCTGATTTTTGATTTTCTTTTTGTCGGCATTGAAATGTTGTTATAAATACATGTATCTTCTACTAAATTAGACCTTAATGATAAAATTTCTAAAGTGATTTGTGGTAGTCATTGAAATGGTTTTATTCTTTGACCATCATATATGATCATATAAAGTTATTTATTTTTTTTAGAAAAGATCTCTATCTTAAATCTTAATACTTTAAGAATAGTTTTGATTGAATATAATTTGGTTTATTTAAAAAAAATCATATTAAATTTATTATTTTTTAAGATAAAAATAAAACAAGACTTTAAGAATTTAAAGAAATAAAATAAAAGAGGTTTATTTTTTATCACAAAAAAAGAACCATGGCAAGTCACAAGAATAAGACTAGAAGGCTTAAGTTGAGCCACATGGATTGAAATTTCAAGGCTAAGGATTTCCTAATCCTCAACTTCTATACATACTAAATGCAAAGAAGCTATTTGAGAAGCTTTCTTGATATATGGAAATAAAACAAGCTTCTAAAAATCCTCTACAACCATCTAAGATTCATTAGAACTTTCTAGGATTCTTTGAAAGTTTCTTAGAACCTACTAGAGTCTATTAGAGACTTTTCAAAATTATTGAGAATCTTCAAAAATCTTCTTCAATTGTATGTCTATGATAAGTAGTCATATAGTCTTCAAATTTATTTTCAATTTTTTAAGAAAGTAGTATGTTTTTGAAAATTATTGACTATCATATAGAAGCTATGTTATAAATATTATAGCTGCTCTTTTCTATCTTTAAAATGACTAAATTTTAAAAAAAAATTCTAAATTCTAATATAGTTTTGTACTTCTATAAAAATTTAGCTATTGTTTTATATATTTTTGTAGCTTTATCATTAGTTAATATAATTACTGAATCCTTTAAATTGAATTTATATTTAAAGTCTCATAAAATATTGTATTCTTTATTAATATGTATAATAAATAATTTTCTTTAATATATATATATATATTAAAATACTATCAAATTATAAAGATTACTTGTCTATCCAAAATTATAATTCTAAAAAAACACAATATACATCTTTGTATTTTGAAATAAAACCAAATAATTTATAATAGTAATGATATTTACAATTGATTGATGGAGTAAGGATTAGAATATGTATATCATCTTAAGTTCTTACACTATAAAATATGTGATGTAAAACTTAAAACTTTATTGTTATAAATTTAAATTTGGCTTTACAGTTGTTATAATTTAAAGTTATAACTTTAAATTACTGTTATGACTTATTGTTATAATTTTAAATTATTTTTATGTCTAAAATTTTTTATAACTTTAAATTATATAAAAAAAAATTAAAATTTTCTAAAGATTATTAATTCTTTATTTTTAAAAATTATAAATAAAATTTCTATACAATACAATCTTTTTTTAGTTCCAAGTTGATGTAATCATACTATTTCTCTTATTTCAACAAAAAATTAAAGCATTGCATATATATTTTTTAAATAAATAAAACATATAAATAATCCATTTTTTAAAATAAAAATCTAAAAAAAAACATATAAGATATCAATAATTTTTCTAAATTATTTTTTTAGTCATAAATCTAATAAAAATTAATCTACAAAACTACAAGGTCTTTTATGCCAATTAAAAATCAATTTTATTCTTAAATTTAATAGGCTTATCTTTATTTGTATTAGAAAACACCTTTAAATTAAAAGGCAATAGTACAAAATAGTATGGCCTCTACAAACTAATGGTTTTAGATTATTATAAAATTAAATATTATTTAAGATTAATTTTTACTTATTTTTATTTATTATATAATATTTAATAGTTTAAATAATATTATAATTCTTTATTTTTTTAAACCACATTAATGTATAATAAAAACTTCTTTTAATTCTATATGGGTATTAATTACAAAGAATTTATTATCCAAGTAAAAAAATATTTTCCAAATACTACAAAAAAATTTAAGAAGATTGAATTTTATAACAATAACCATAATTTTTTTAATTTTAGTCAAATTTATTTATATTATTTAATCTAATATTTTATTCATGTTTAATAATTAGAATCTAACAAATATTTGGCCACCAATTACCTTATGTAATTGGTTTATTGTATATCAATCTAAATCCAAGAAAGTTTTGGATGTTTGTGTCTTGAAGGTATAAGAAACCTACAATCTAATTAGTTAGAAGTACTTTTGTGATTTCTTCAGGGTCAATAAGTCTTACACCATCATTTGTTTTGGTTGACAATAAACAAGCCAAAATTATATAAATATAGTTAAGAATAATATACTTTTTATTAAAAAATTTAAATTATTGATTTACTTTTATAAATAGCTTTTAAATACCATGTCCAAATTTTATTTATTTTTCTTCTTTCTTATTATAAAAATAAAATTACATATATATATATATATAATTATAAACCATTAATTTTTCTATTTTTGTAACATAATTTATAATGTTACATATTATTACATCTCAAATATAAACATGGAGTATGTCAAGTGTGAGGTTGTGGTGTGAAAGCAGTCCTAATGTAAACGCAAAAAACCAATGGAGTTGTTTTATCCAGCATGAGGCTGCAATGTAAACCAGGCTCAATGACACAGACATTGTCCGTCATGTGATTTATAGTTTTGGGGGTGTGATATAATTGATTTTGAATGGTGCTAACAATCTTAGCCAATCGATGTTTTTTGTTGATAGTCAAACAAATACTATTTATATATATATCTAAGTAGACTACATAACTAAAAAAAATCACTAAGTTATATCCTAAGAGTACAAAATGGGCTTACTTTTCAAAATACATATGTTATATGATTATAAATGTGATATAAATATATATATATATATATATATCTATATAAGTTTACAAGAGTTTTACAAAAAAAACATATTTCTTTGAGAGAAATTATTACAAGAAATCTTAATTCATCTAAACCACTCATTCCAAAAACACATAAAAATTCTACAAAACCAAAGAGGATACGTTTAATTTTCATGTAGCCTGTGGTAACGGAAAAGGAACGAAAAATGGCACCGAGAGCGCACGACGATGTGACGATGCGACGATGACGAATCGTCACAACAGAGCTACGACCGTTTAATGGCGGACGAACGAACGAGCTGGAACTGCCGATTGTCGGCGAACTCGACGAGAATCGCCGCAGGCAATGCTTTTTGCCCAGGGTTGCTCGACTCTTCCTCTTCAATCAAGCTTTCAATCGAGAGTTTGTGAGAGAGGTTGTTCACTACGACCAGAATTGTCGATGTTGAAAAGGTATTGAATTTGGGGTTTAGGGTTTTAGAATCGAATTGAGTGGCTATGGAATCGTTCAGAAGACGAAGAAGAAGTGAAGGAAAGGGAGTGAGTGAGATTGCGAGAGTGAGACTTCATGAAGCATTCTCACAGAACGTTGACGCTGTTATTACACCCCCCGATTGCTGTTGCGCATTTCTCTATACGCTGTGAGCTTCCTTTGCTGATTCACGAGGCAACCCTCCGTAGACTTCAATTCTTTTTTTTTTTGGCAATTGTTTGATGGTTTGCATGACCGTGACGATTCTCGTTCCGCAAAGTTTTGTATTGTGGGGCTCATTGTTCAGTTTCACAAATGTGGGGACTGGGGTTTAGGAATTGTGGAGTGGTAGTGGCTATGCTCATGTTTACAAGCTCTTATTAGATTTGTGTGTTGTATCACGGTGGTTCTTCGTTGTTTTAGAGGTTTCGCTGCTGATGTTGGGAACCTTTGGTAGGGTTGTCGTTTAGTGATTGATTGCAAGAATGTGGTTTCGCTGAGAAGATTTCCAGATTCTTGTTACTTCTGGAGATTAATAGAGGGTGCAGCTGGTGGGGAGGTGGATCCAGATATGAATTGCCACTCCTGCATTTCTGAAGCTTTTTGAACCATTCCATAAATTGCTAAGAGCATGACCAATAGCTGATGGTTTATTCTGTTCAACTTTCAAGCGGCTCCGAAAGTAACACCAACATGAAAAATCATGGTGGGAAGGAAGTCACCATTTATTCGGAGTTTGGGATATTGAGTCCATTCATTTTCTGGGTTTATTGCCTTGTCTTGGTGTATGGCTTTGTTGTTGTGAGCACCGAATTTCACCTCACCTATGCAGTTTCATTTTTCCTTTTCTTTTTTTCGTGTTTATCCGCCACAATGTATGCCACCTCGATCA